GGTCCCCCCATCCCTCTCCCTCCCTACAGGCCTCACAGCCCCACGCAGACCGTGGCCCCGCACGGGCCTCCCCCAGCCCCCCAAAGAGCCCCTGCTCCGTACAGGCCTCCCAGCCTCACACAAACCCCTCACCCCCTCTATGGTAATATATATCAGGGTAATATACACACGCACGCATATAGGTATATATAAAATATATATATATAATTGATATCCCAGGCTCCCCTGCCCTGGGCCTGCCCCCTCCTCTTCCAAGCAGCAGGCGGGCTGGGAGTCAGGGTTGCTTCCCCCTGTTACATGGCAGTTGGGCTGTTACTAGGGACCAGATGGACTCTGGGTTGGTCTGTGGAGCAGCACTGGTATAAACCCAGGCTTATATCCCCCAAGCAGGGACGACCCGGGCCTCGCCGTGGGGTAGCTCAATGTTAGCTTAATGTTAATGTTGCACCAGCAAAATCATTCCCATTGCATTCATTTCTAGCTAGTAACCTCCCAGTTCCTGGCATAGCTCCACAAAAAGTGGTTTTCAAAAGATTTTGCAAAGTCATCCAGGGGCCAGTAACTGGGGTTAACTAAACAGAAACACAGGGATAGTAGTGTAATTAAAGAGAGATTGCTACTGTGCTGAGAAGGGGTTACAGCAAAACAGGAGTATCAGAGCTAATGCCTTTTTTTGTACTGGCATGAATTAGTTTAGGCCCTGTTTATCACAAGCCTTACCCAAACTGTATTTGATGCAGGTGTTTGTATGCCATTGGGCCTGTTCTTATACTGACCACAAACTGCTTTTAGTAGTATTTTAGGGACACCTATGTAATTCTTAGCAGAATTGTTTTTCTCTGACAGCACTACAGCTTAACTACAGCCCTGCTCCTGCAGTTATGTTTTTCTTTCTGTTTTTCTTGCACTAAAATATTTTCCCTCCTTCTTAGGAGATGCATTGGAGATGATGTTGGATGAACTCTGCTCGGGGTCATGCTGAAGCAGAACGTCTCTCAGCTGAACAAACTGGCTCAGTTTGCCTGAGGTGGAAGTAAAACTGAGGTAAACTGAAGGCATGAGATGCTCGCAAGGGTTAAAGAGAAAGCAGCTGAGAAAGTTTGTAGTCAATAGGGATCCGTAACAGCTGCTGGGGAATTTCACCACTCTTAGCATAGTGGTATGCCTCTTTGTGATCAAAGGCTAATGATCAGCGCAGAGACAAAGTGGCTGCAGGAGAGAGATGGGAAGAGTCATAAAGGTGGAGCAATAGAGGTGAAGGTTGGCTTGGTTGCTTCACAGAACTGTCTTTGAGGTTTTGAGATGCACTGGAATAGAAGAGCTCTGGTAGACTGGATTATTGAATAAGATTAGGGGTTTGGGGGGGTCTCTGCTTCAAAGTAGGTTGAGTGAAAGGAAGCTGTCCCCTGGGGGTGGGGGGTCTGTGTGTCTACTTGGCCCTTTCAAGGAGAATGGGTTTTTTTGTTAAAAATCTGAGTCGAGGTAGAAGAGGCTGGAACTCGAGGAAGTGAGGGGAAACCTGTGGTGGGACACAGAGGCTGGGATCAGGGTTATTGCAGTTAAGGTGTGTTGGCAGGCTGTAGATTGCCAAGAAAGGAGACCGTGCAGTAGGTCAGAGCTGAGAAAAGCTGGTAGAGCTGTGTAGGGAGGTGTAACACTTGCTAACTGTGTGCTGGGCTTCAATATCTGCCTATTAAGAGGCCTAACTTGTAACTGGAAAAATAACTGGGGTAGGGAGTGTATCTGGTTATCTGTTAGGATAACAACTGTAGCTGCATCTTGGGACTTCAGCTGGCCCTGGCTAACTCTTCCCCTTGCAATGAATTTATAGTGAATATGCTGTGCCCCTGCCAGGAAGACTGGGCAGAAGGGGATGTGAATGGTCTTTCTTAGCAAGCTTCAGTTGCATTAGAGGAAAGAGGGTACTCATTTCTAATGTGTGCAGGACCCTGTTGTTGCACCAACCTTCTTACATGAGAAATGGAATTATCTGAGAGCCTGTCCCCCTGTTATATTGCTGCTGTTTCCAGAGAGACATCTGGGGTCTGACTGGCAGAGAGGTTTTATTTTGGATGGCTGTTGTGCTGGGTCATTGGTCTCATGTTAAGCTTTCCAAAAATCTCTGCTACTGATTTATGAACTGGCAGATTGCAACATGGCTTAGTCTATAAATAGCAGGGGTGTATGTGTGTGGGGGGGAAGGATATTAATGCTGAACATGGCCCAGTGCCAGTCCACTGGCTACATCTCTGCAAGGCATGGCAGGAAGGGTTTAGGCAATGTTCACGGATATGGTGGAGGGAGAGGAGTCATTATTACAGGGTCAAGTATATCTGATTGCTTCATGTCATAGGTATAGTAGGGATAGGAGATGATATAAACAAAGAGGAAAAAATTGGCCTTCCGTGATTTGGCTTGCTCAGGTTGAGTGTCTGCTCCCTTTCCATCCTTATCTCCTCTGGCTCCCTGGACCAGCATCTGCTAGTCCCCAAGCATAGCTCCTGGGAGTGACAAAGGAGCTGTGAACTTTAAGAGCTCACTCCTCCTTTGCAGGATTTCTTGGGCCTTGCATAGTGGGTTGGAAAATTCCCAACTTGACTTGTTCTTCTGGGACAGATGACCTGTCTACTTTGGTCAAAACTTGTGAAGGAGGAGCAGCTGAATGAATTCCTCTGCTCTGGGGTCCCTTGAGGGTGAGCAGAAGAAGTAAGCCCATGTTTTCCTAGCTTGGAGATGGTGATTGCTGTCTTCTCCTTTGTTGTGCGAGTGGACGTGCTGTTTGGGAACCTGTTTCTGGTGACCTCAGTTGTAGTCCTGTGCAGAAAGCTGGAGAAAAGCTCCTTTTACCTGACCCTGCTGGTGGTTTCTAAGTGGGTTAGTTCTACAGGGACTGTCGCCGAGGGCTGTCCTCAGAGCTCTAAGTCCGTATAGCGCTACTGAGGCTAATGGCGCCACAAGGCCGCAATGCTGAGCGCGGGGACTGAGGTGGGCGGCACGGCACGGCATGCACTGGCCGTGGGGCGACCCTGATGGCTGGCTGTGCTGGGGGGGCCTC